AAGCTCGTAACGGTTTCTCTCTAACTAAGAAGCTCCTCAGGTGCTACTAAAAGTTTAGTGGCACCATGCATCATGCGTTGCATAATCCAAATATGTGGTGCATAGGACGAAGATTCTGAGGCTTCACAGTCTACAAAACCGACTAAAATGGAGCTCTCTTGGTCAGATTGTGCTATCAATATTACAAACCCCAAATTTTGCATAGACGAACAACCTTCATCTATGAAAATAACAAAACCCCTCTTTCATGTTTTGGGCTTCTTTTATTTGTAAAATAGACGTAAATATGCAAACCGGGGTTTTATCCTCCTTGTAAATTTGACCCCTTAGTGTCCTCTCTCCAAAAAGCTGAACTTTATAGTATTACCACAAAAGAAAGAGCTGAATTCAATGGAGGTCGATTTACTTCAATGGAGGTAATGGTTTTTACTTTCAAGTGGGTTTCTTTGGGTTTCATAGTTCTGTATTTTAAGTGTTTAGCTTTTAGAATTCTTTGGGTTTCATGGTTCTGTATTTTAAGTGTTTAGCTTTATAGAAGTTGATTTTTTGAGTGATGGAAGGGATATAGAAAATCTTTATGGAATGGCAAGACAATTTTTGGAAGGGTATAATGCAAAATCTGCTTTTAATAGATATTCACACACCTTAAAACGGCACAATAATAATAAAAAAAAGGTGAGGTTTGTATAGAGCCTAGGCTCTAAACAATCAAATTAGAGCCTATCTTCAAATAGCATCGAGAAATATGGTTTCAATACTGGAAATCTTTGTGATAGCTTTAAAATATATTTTTATCTTTATTTATAAAGTTTAAAGCTTCAAAAATTGTATAGATCGACAGATCTATGAAAACTTGGAAAATTTGAAAATTGATGGTTCAAAAATACATCACAAAATACATTATTTTCAGAACTTAAAATCTATTTTTTTCTCGTATCCATGCATCTTGGTGTCGAGATGATCAATTTGAGGATATTTGGGCATCAAAACAACCTCTTTTAGTGATATTTTTGAGGTAGGCCTAGCTTGATTGTTTAGAGCCTTAGCTCTATATAAATTTTTTTCTTAAAAAATTATTATATTTTTTAATTAGGGATGAAAGAAATTATAATGTTTTTCAATATAAATGATTTTTTATTAGATATTTTTGCCCTAATTTTTTTTTTTTTTAGGTAATTCAAAAGAGATGACACGCCCCTACCTATTTTTCCAGTAGATTAGGAGTATGCCTTTTGAAAACTAGGGACCAATGGTTTAAAAAAAGGATCGGTGACCCGGATTGGGCTTTCAAAAAACCGATTTGGATCCGCGAATCGGCGATCCGGATCGAGAATCGGGT